CTGTTGAATGTTAAATCATCACAATTAAATTGTTTTTTTTTTTCTTCTAATGCCTGACTAAATTTGGTTGAGCCTTAGTGTAATTTAGGTTATCTTAGATAGATTGTCTAAAATATTTCAAAAAAATGTTCAAAAGATCTTTAGAATGTATTTCATCTCACAGCATTGTTTTGATATCAGCCATTAATTTCTGAGAAGACTAAAAGTTTATAGAACGTAACTTTGAAAGCATTGCAGAAAGGTATTTGCACATTATTTAGATGAATTCCCTCACATTACAAAAGATAAAGTGAAGCTGGAATAATATTTTATTTATTAGTTCAATGGTGGGTACGTGAGGTTCATATTTTATTCTTCTTTTACCGTACATGGACACTGAATGTATTCTTTTTGTGAAAGTATTTTWTAATAAGTAAGGAAGGAGGAAAAGAATGAACAAGAGAGAAAGACAAAACAAGAAACAAAGATAGGAAGTTCAAGTTCACCTTCAGAGAGCCAAAGCAGTAGGAACTAATGTTGGGATCAATGACCCAGAGCCCCCAGCTCCCTGTTCAGCATTTTCCATCACAGAGTACTGCCTCCTGACCCGGAACCAGGTCAAGGAAAGCTAAAATGTTCTCTTCCATTCACCATCTAAGAGCCCCGAGTTCTACTAAATCAAATTACCAGTCTAGTTTGGAAATTTGTTTAGAGACATTGTTAACAATACTCAGAGGGGAAAAAAAATCAAACAAAATCAGAAAGCAATCTACTCTTATTCAAAAAGAAAAAAATTYCTAGTTATAAAAGGGAGTAAACAGTTCAGAAAATCTTTACCCAAGAAACAAGACATCCAGTACCTGGAATGCAATGTTAGCATGACAAATAAGAGAAGTGAACCTAGGTCACATCCCTGAGGGTAAGCATCAAAGCCAAAGATCTGCCGCATAATATTTGCATTTATTTGACTCAGCCAATGGCTGCTGAGCTCCAACAATGTGGTCATGGCACTCTGTGGCTGATAACAAAGTGACTTCATCAGATGCTACCAAGAACTCTGACCTGTGCGATCAGGCTCCTTGGACGTCAGAACCTCACTAGGCAATTGCTGGGGAGCCTTAAGCAAGTTATTTGTCCTCTCCATACTTTCATTTTTTTTCACTTGTAAAACAAGGGAGTTAACTAGAAAATCTATAAGAAAAAGCTACCAAAAAATCTTTTGCTTCTAGCACTATGACAAGAGCTCCATTCTTCCAAATCTGAAGAGGTCTATGAATCATTATGAAATAAAATATCCAGTTAAAAACACCTATTTCACCATGMCTTTGCAACACCTATGGTACCCAGAGACTAACAAAAACTAAGTAAGTGCCTTTCAAACTTAGTTCAGCAYCAGATTCTCCTAGGACTTCTTTAAAGTCCGACTTCTATGACCCAGCCTAGACCAATAAAATAAAAATATCTTGAGGAGGGGGTCTTTTGAGGATTAGTGCTTCTCTAAAAGACCCCTAAATGATCATTTCAGATATTGTCACTATACTGGGCAATTCAATGACCCAGGATACTTAGGATCTGGGAATACGAAAAAGGCTGACGGGTCTGGATGTCTTAATGAATAATTAAAGTTTCTTTTAAATAGATCTTGAATGTGACCAATACATTTTTCATAYACACCTCCAATCCAAAAATGTGAATATGAAGGATGAAAAACTAAATGTGAAAGTCTGCTCAAGACAATAAATAAATCATGCCTTGGGAAAAGTACAACTTCTCACAGTTAATGACATGAAAACATGAAAAGAAAATGAAGAATGTTCTCAAGACTGTGGGCCTACAGATCCCACCCATCATTACTCATGTGTCAGAAGGTTGCCATCCTAAATGGTGTTTGAAAGTGACAACAACCTGGTTGACAAGAACATCTTGTGGATGTCAAAAGAGCTGGAAGAGAGGTTTTTAAATGTTTTACCACAAAGGAATGATAAATGTTTGAGATAAAGGATATGCTAATTACTGTGATTTGAGCAGTTCATAAACTATACATAGAGCAAAACATCACATTGTATCCCACACATTTGTGCAATTATTATGTCAATTAAAAATAATAAAAATCAAACATCATGAACATGATCCTCCCACTTATTATTCAGAAGTTTGCCCAGATGCTCTACTTCTCTAATTTGGCTTTTTTTCCTGAATCAAAACAACTCAGCCCAAGCAAAACTTCCACACTGAAAACATCTGAGACAAGAGAAGGAAGCAACAAGCAAGAGAAAGAAAACAAGAATGAAAGTGAAATTTTCAAAAAGGTAAATTTTAGTTGCAGTTACCTAAGAAAGGGTTTGGTTTTATGGGCCTCAAATTTGAAAAAAAAAAAAAAAAAAAAAGAGAGAGAGAGAGATCACAGGGACAAACTATCGCTTCCATAGAAAATGCTTTGAATTGATCTTGCTTTCCAGAATGAACTCTGAATGACATCTCAAGGTTAACTTCCTTCTGTGGGTGTAAGCTTTGGGTTATAGCCAAAGGCCCAGAAGCACTAGAAGTAGAAAACCACGTGAGTCTCCCATGTTTCAGGTATACCTCTGTGAGTCCAGTGAGACAGATTCACCAAGTTAGAAATGGTTCTGGGGCCTGGACACTGCACAATTTTTCTTTCAGATAAATGGAACAGATTCAGTGAATTGCTTTTAGAGAGGAATTAATCTAGCAAGGAACACAAACACATACATASCCCTGCAAAAGTGTGTCACAAGGAAGCAAGATACATTCCCATCCCTAGTGGCCATATCTCTAAAGAACCACAATGATTGATAAGTTTGTTTCTCAATTTAAAAAACAAAAAACTGGTAACACCCAAAGAGTAGAACTCAAGTTCTCATGAAACTATAAGAATATCTTTCCTTTCAACATAATACCAAACACTCTAGCAGAAAGGAGTTTGGATTGTATGACCTTTATATTTCCTATTAACCTTTAATAATACACAGATTTACAATTCCCTGAATAATATAAAATATTTGTATTGTTTGCTTGTGTCTTAAAAAAGCAACTTACTATATAKAAATTAACAGTATCGATACTTATACATTCTATAATTTATTTTCTCTCCGAGGATCACTGTCTCTATAAGACTCACGGATAAAAAGAAATATTAATTACATACCACATTATGTCCAAGTAGCATTAAGGTAACCCATTCCCATATCTATAGAGTGAATAACCTCCCAAAAACTTTCATCCCCTTTTTTAGGATCAAAAAAGTTAAATAAATTACTTAAGGTCACAATGCTAGAAAGTGATAAAGTTGGAATTGTAACCCAGGCCTAACTCCAAARCCCACTCTGCTACTAGCCTAGCACAGGGCCTCCTAGTTTGGGGAGGAGAAGGAAACAATAAATAAATGTCTTCCCATTATTCAGWATGCTTCACTAATTGCTCAGCTCCGTTAATCTATAGTAAGTTTTTCCTTACTATACTTTAATAAGCATCCTTCTTAGAGATGGATTATCTCAGCATTCAAATTAAGCAAAAAAAAAAAAAAAGCAAAGCAAAAAAGTACTGAATTTTATACCCAGAGCAAGGATAACATGAGAGTTCAATTTTCACAAAAGAGAAAAATTACCTGTGTTGATCATCCAGGAATATCAAGTTCAACATTGTCCATATGATTAACATGAATTCAACAGAGTTGCSGAAGGAACCAAACCCAGATGGCAACTCAGATGTTTAATGAAATGAATCAACATTAATCCATTTCCCTTATTAATATGTAATACATTTTCACAAACATGYAGAAGGAATGATTTCCTTAAGTATATTGTTTGCAAAAATAACGTCATGTGCCTTATTTCCTGCTTTTAAAACATCTTCTTCTGAATTCCCTATTTGAATTCACAGCATCAATGTCTATCACCCAAGGTCAAAAATCTAGTCATTTTGACTGTCTACTTGCTGCCTAATTCCATATTCATTCAGTTTCAAGTTATTTTTAATTCAGACTCTTCACTCCCTCTGATCAGTCCCTCTCGATTCTGGAGGGAATTGCCCCGCTAGATTAGTGTCTTCCTTGCCCTTTTCACAGACACAGAAACAAACATCCTTCCCAGAGCCTGCACCCTGTCTTGACAACAATCCATTTGGCACACAGGGGGCAGGACTTTCAATCCCAGAGACATGGATTTTACAACTCTCAGTACACAAGTGTTTTATGATTAAACTGCTCATAACTCTACAATCTGGCTTTGTCCAGCCTCTCTCTGCAAAACCTTACCTCTGTTTACTCCTTGTTTTTTATCCCTATGCCCAAACTAATCATTTCTGCTGGCTGTTTACTTCCCATAACTCTGTGCCTTTGCTGGGGAGCAAATCCCTTGCAATGTGCTTCCCCCGCCCCTCTGCTTTCCCCATTCAGCAACCCTATACATCTTTTAATCCCAAATCCAAAGACCACTCCTCCCTAAGCCCATCCTGACCTGGGAAGCTGGGAGAATTCTCCTCTTATTCTGAGAATTCTCCTCTTATTCTGTAACACTCTACTCAGAAGACCGCTGTTTTGGAAAATCAATGCTTAGACTCTATTGCGGTTATGTGTGTACCTCTTTTGTCTCCTGCCAACTATAAGCATTTAATGCAGGCATATAGTCCATATCTTGTACATGCTATGAGAACAAAGAACTTTCAGTGGATGATGTATCATACATTACACTGTAAAGGCCTATATGCTGAACAGGGAGAATACATCTCCACTGGCATTGTTTAGACAACCTTCAGGCTTAAACAAAACTAAATAGAATAATATTTTTCAAGTATTGAATACCGAGTTTTTAAGTATGATCAAACCTAATTTCCTTGAATTTGAGAATTAGATCATCAGAGGATATGAGAAGAAAATACTGATTTATCATTTAATGCAGTTTGGGAAGAAGACATTTATCTTGCTGTCAATCACCCGTCATCCCTTACAGAGAACAGACACACAGAGCTGGCCTGCAGAGTGTTGAAGAAGCCGTCTGTCTTACTTTGCAGTAGACTATCATGTTGGGAGAACTCTCYTCTGGATCAGCAATCCCCACTGCTCTTTGATCCCCGGATCCCTGAGCCATCCTGAGTGTCTTCTCTCACACTGTGAAAATAAATGGATACACCATTAAGCCATGAAAGAATTTTTTTAAAATAAATTCTTTGAAATGCAAAAGAACTAAGTATCTTTTGGCAGTTGCCATGAAAACAAAACATAATTTTTATTTTTCTGATTAATTTACAAGATATTTCTTTAAAAGTTAGGGTATGTTCTAATCCCAAATATTCTTCATTTTCAGCCCAGAGTCCTGTACCTAGGGGCAGATATATGCCCATCTTAAGCTCCTGAAGACAGATGAAGACAATCATTTTGATGTTGATTTCTGTCTTACCAAAGCCAAATTTCTGATTAATTCCATGCATTAAAATGTGAATCTTTAATTATGGAAATGCAAATCAAGATCCCAAGGAGATACTACTCCATTTCCACTAACATGGTTATAATAATAAAAAAACAAAAATTCAAAAACACAAGTCTTGTCAAGGAAYGGGGGAAATGAGAATCCTCATTTGTTGCTGGTAGGAATGGAAAGTGGTACAGTCACAGTGAGAAATGGTTTAATGGTTCCTCAAAAAGTTAAACAGAGAATTACCATGTGATCTAGAAACTCCACTTCTAAGTATATAGTCCCAAAACCTGAAAACAAATATTCAAATACTTGCTCTTGAAGGTTCATAGCAGCACTGTTCATAAGAGCCAAAGAGTGGAAGCAACCCAGATATCCATCAGTGGACAAACGGATACACAAAACATGTACGTATATCTGATGGAAGATGATCCCACCATAAAAAGGCGTGATGTTCTGATACACTTCACAGTGTGGGGGGATCTTGAAAACATTACGCTAAGCGAAAGAAGGCAGACAGAAAAGGTGAGATATTGTAAGAGTCCATTTATGTGGATTATCCAGAATAGGCAAACCCAAAGAGACAGAAGACTGATGGTTGTCAGCAGCTGGAGAGAGGGCAAGAGGGAAGGGGGTCACTGCTCAAAGAATATGGAGTCTCCTCTGGATGATGAAAATATTTTGGAACTAGAAAGAGGTGATGGGTCATAGACTAAACACCACTGAATTATATATTTGAAKATGAAGCAAGTTCAGTTCTTGGTGTGACATTATACCTGCTGCATGACCTTAGGCAAGTTAAATAACCCATGGGTACTCTTGTTAATTTCCTACCCTGAATGCAKCAGACACCTGCTGTATGCTCAGAACCATGACGACACCATCCTTTTACATTGACTCTCATCAGTGAAATGTGAATTCCACAGTGACCTTGTAGGTAAGGGTCAAAAAAAAAATGAGGAATGAAGGATAGCTTAAAGCCATAAGAGTCCTTTACAAATGTTATCACTAATCCAAGAGCCTGCCTGAATTATTTGCACAAAATTCATAGGCTTTTCATCAAAGAAACTTTTATAAATACCATACCTAACCAAAAAAAAAAAAAAGGCTATCCACTCAAAATAAAAAACTCAGGAAATATTCTATTATAAAATAAATTGGTACCAAAGGTCATTCCATAAAAATAAATTTGGGTGGAAGTTGGAGACAAAGGTCATTCCATAAAAATAAATTTGGGTGGAAGTTGGAGAGACAGGAATTTGTAATCTACACAAAGAATTTAATTGCCCAACATATCCCATTTGAATGATGTTGCCGGCTTTCTTCATCATTTGTGAATTAGAATGTATTTTAAAATTAGATTACATGAAAAAATAAAGAGCATCATTGTATTACCTCCACTCTCTGTTATATCAGTATTTCCATGAATAGAGTACTACATGGAAACACTGATTATTATTCTAATCAGAGGCTTTTAAAGTTAAATGAACAGCACACTGTTTCATTTTTAAAACAACTACTTAGTTGCCTCCTCCTTTGCCCTAATACAGAATATAACAGAGCATGAAAAACAAAAACCGAATCCATTTATGTATGCTCATTTATCTATGTAACAGAGCCCTTTCGGGTCTCCATTGCTTTATTTTAAAATGAACACTTTCTCTTTTAATAAGCCTATTCTTTTCCACCTAGAAAACTGTGCAATAATAGCAAGGTTGGAAATGACCTAGAAACAAATGTCTCAGCCCTCCTTCGCCTTTCCCCAGCCACCCCCTCCCACCAACAGAAGCATCTCTGTTGTTCAAACAGGCTGATATTCCAGGACCTGGTCTGTAAACTGCTCAGTGAATGCAGAGAGTCTATGTTAGGAAATTTAGTGAATCTAGTATTCACTAGAAAAGCTTCTATTTTKGGTTCCTCTATCAACTTGTTTTGAAACTCAGACAAGCTGCTTAATTCTTCTGTGTCTAGAAAGAATCTTTTCTAAAATAGGAATATAGCTACCTTCTAGTCCATATGTCAACAAATGGAGCGAAATGGACGTGAAACCTATGTAGGTAAGAATTTTAGAATTCCATTCACTGGCTGTAACGCTGAGGCTCCTAAAATTAGAGAATCAGGTTTTCATTCATTACAATATGCTGTAAAATATTTCTTTTAAATAAAGTGCAGCAGAAATAAGTAGGAATGTTTTAAATTTAATGTAGTAAAAAAAAAAAAAAGAAATAACCTTCTCCATTTTCTGTATGTATATTACACTTGTATACTCACAGTTGATAATCCAGGGACTTTCATTACACTATTCAAAGAATGTAATAATTTTTCTGGAAACACATAATAATAGAAAAAATAGAAAGAACACAGGTTAATCATATTAATTTCCTATAATGACTCACAGCTAACAAAAGAGGAAAATTGAAAATGTGCTCAGACTATGCGTGGTACAAACTTGGAGAAGATACACCTTAGTGGTTACAAGTTGGCTTCTGTCATCCGATCTGACCCCAGGCCTCCTTGCTCACTAGCTGTGTGATCTGGACTACATTACTTCACCTCTTTKTGCCTTTTTTTTCCCTTTATCTGTCACAAACCACAGTCCTAGCATAATTTTTAATATTTAATATATCTCCACCTCCAGCCCTGGTCTGCAACTAACTAGCTGTCAAAACCAGGTCAAGCTGCAGYTTCCCCAGACCTCAGATGGACATAAGCTATGCAAACCAGCATCCTTAGACCTTGAACCTCAGAACTTCAAAATTTCTGACTTACTTAGCAACGACATGCTAGAATGTTCCATGCCATCTCCCTTCTATCTGCCTACATCCTAGCCCATCTCCTCTACTTGTGACAGCCCTCGTGCCGAACTCAAAGAATCACCCAAATACTGGGATAGAGCATTCTCGGTCCCACTCAGCATCCCTCCTCATAAAGCATTTCCTGCCATACCACTGCTCATCTCTAGGTTCCAGGGACTGTACATGTATTCTTTGGGCAAATTCTTGAGCTCTCCTTTCTCAAGGCTCCCTGCTGGGTCCTGGGGAAACACAGGCAAAGACTCACAGAGGTGTTCCTTAAGATGTTCAGAGCCCAGCAAGGGTGACAGGTGCACTGGATAATACAATGAGCATGTGCTCAATTCTGATGGCTCAGAGCAGGAGGAGGTGACAACTGAGATGGGAGTGGAAGGATGACCACGAGCACCTGAGGTTGGCAGGGTTTGCCATTCCATCTATATGACAGTAACCAGGCTTAGACATCGGAAGCCCCAKAAGTAGCTCAGCATTGTGCTAGGCACTGGAGAGAAAAAAAAAATGAAGATGATTCGATCTCAATGAGATTAAATGAGAGTCARCCCTGAGCACAGAGAGTGAGAGAACAGGGATTCACACCCATCTGCATTCAGGGCACTTAGTGTCCTTGTGTATCAGGGATTTCCTCTACCAGAAAGTCAGACCTTCATGGGCAGGTGCTCTATCAGTGGGGTTCATCCCTCTATCTGGACACCTAGAAAGTGATCTAGCACAGAGCAGGCACTCAAATATTCTGAATGAATGAATATTCATCTGGATAMTATGTCAGGAAAACTGCCCACAGACCCAAGACCCACGCGTGTAATCACTCGTGAGGATTTTCCCCAGGGCTTATGGACATGAGCCAGCTCCAGACTCAGGAATACACTTCTGGAATTCACAAGCAATTTGGGTAAAAGGGACTATGTGGGAAGGGTGGTGAGCATAGCAAAGGGGGTGACCACTTAAGCATCTAGGACATAACTGACGAGCAAATCTTTTGAAAGTCAGGACGGTGCCTGCGATTTACTCCAAATTTTCATGCATTTGTAACTTATAGTTACAACAAATGCTTGCTATTTTCTTTTTTAMAAAAAATATTTATTTTTTAGTTGTAGGTAGACGCAGTGTCTTTATTTTACTCTTAGGTGGTGCTGAGGTTCCAACCCAGTGCCTCACACATGACAGGCAAGCGCCCTACCTCTGAGCCACCACCCCAGCCCCCTCTTTTCTTGATAATAGCAGCCACTCTAGAGCAAAGTCCAGGGTCCAGGGTCCAGCAGAAAACAGTGCTGAATAGAGTGKGAAGGAAGGTCCTCAATGACGTAGAAAGACAAAGGGACTTGCTTGGAAGCCRTCTCGGCCCTGGCCTCACTGAGCCTCCTAGGAGACCTTTGGTGAGTGATTTCCCCAGCCCACACTTCCAGCTCTTCACCTAGAAGATGAGAACCCTCCACTAGCCAAGGTTGTTTCTGAAGAGGGAATAGGGTAATGCACATGATGACTGTGGCAACTGACTGTTGTTCTTGGCCAGTGTTGGGGTGAGTGAAATTCCCAGGCCACCTGTGTCAGAATCCTGGAGAAGTCCACCCCCTGTCTGGATCTCAGACAGTCCAACCCTGGGCATCTGAGGCTGAGCCTTCAGCAACACCACAACCTCCTCAGGGGATCCTGATGAAGCACTAAGAGGAGGACAACTACAGTTACATGACAATGTCACAAAAATCATTGTGGCATCCGCTAAAAGCCTTAAACATCAGGCCTGCCACTTTTTGTGCCCAGTCCTCAAAACCTTATTCAGAGAAATGTCATGTAGGAGGCGTCACCAAACCCTGACTGTCATATAGTCTGAATATTGATGGTGCAAAATAAAAATTCCTGTGGATGTTATTT